GACATTTGGATCCAGACTCGAGATTGGACTTGAGACATTTTGGAGAGGGATTATTTGGGACTCGTAACGAGACTTGGTGTTGACGACTTTCCCATCTCCCCCTTTCTCTTCTTCATCTCCTCCTCTTCGTCTGTGTATGTCTGGACCTGGCGCTTCTTCCCTGTGTATAGCGTCAGGCTCCCTTCACACCTAGTGATGAGCATGATGTATGTTTGGTCTGTGTTGCAACATTGATTGGGCTAGTCGGTGGTATTCTAGCACTCTGTTGCGTTGTCTTATATTGCGTGATAGAGGTCAGTCTCGATCAGGTCAGGATTTGAATCTAAAGTCTTCCCTGTGCTATAAAGCACCATTTTGTATGTATCGGAATGCACATTGCTTGTTGATATTCTACTTGCACTGCATTGTCCATTCAGTCCTTTTTATCACATTGCGGATCCTCGGCTTATATGTACATCCCGTTACTTGGAAATTCAAAATATTTTTTTTCCGAATTTCGTTTTTCTTCAAAACGGTACGGGAAATCCCCCCTGCAGTTATCATTTTCCAAACTGCGCATCTGAGTAATTCCGAATATTTTGCTGTATTTTATTTTTGGGATTCTTTTATTCGCAATTCTATAATCATTTGCAGTCTGAAAGTTCGGATTTTTTTCTCATTGGTAATCTCTAACTTCAAGGGAGATTGGGAGACCTACTGAACTTGCAAAACTCGGGACTTCTATTTTCTCGAAACTGCTTTTGCAAGTTCAAACTTTTCTCTTTTGATTAGTGGCTCCTTATCTGGGCGATTTTTCCCACCCACCCTCCCCACCTATGTTGTTGCCCCTCTCGTCTTATCTTCTCTAGCTGTCTTCGGGTACTCCTGCAGCGGCATTCGTAAGTTGCTACGTCAGCAGGCCACGTCAGCAGACCACGTCAGCAGGACACGTCAGCGAACAGCAAGCCACTTCAGCAGCAAGGAGTACCACGTCAGCAGGCCCCCGGCCTGGTCTATGTTGTTGCGTTCACAAACAACCGTCATGGACCAGAGGTCCGGGGAAACATATGAGGCCTATCAGGCCCGGATGCTGGTCTGGCCTGGAGTACCGAAACCAAGAAACGGGCGGATGACGCAGCAACCGCAACGGAGAAGAAGGCAAAGGACGCCGAGAAGGCACGTCTGTTGGCAATCGAACAGCAGCGCCAGCAAGACGAGGCAGCAGCAAGGGCTGCCGATGAAGAACGAATTCAACAACGTGAGAAGATATTTGGGAGCGAGCGAGCCTTGCTCACAATGGCAGCAGAATGGCAGAGAGAGACTGAGAATGGAAAGATGGCGGAGAGTGAAAACAAGATCGCTCTACTCCTCTCCCATCTCACGGACCTCCTAACCACGTGCATTGCACAGCAGGAGGACATCCAGAGCCTCGACGACATAGTTCAGCAGCAAAAACGGACGTTAGATAGCCGCCTCCAGCAAGCTGGAACAAACCATCGCCGCCCCCGTTGCCAGCTCCTCTAACACCTCCGATCGCCTCGAAGCTTTGGAGATGGACGTCGGATCCCTCAAAGACGGCGTGCAGTTACAGCACACCCTGACGCAACAGTTGGAGTAGCGCATCTGTGCTGCAGCCGCCAACCCAAGTCTGGAACAGCGGGAGTCAACTCCAAAGTTCGATGGTCAAGAGATCTTCTGCGATTCGACGAAGACGGACCCGATTCCGTGGTTCCACAACTTTGAACTCACGTTGCAGCTCCATCTCGTCAGCGAATACAAGCACCACACGTACTTATACTCCCGGTCGGGAGGCGCATGTCAAGCATGGATGTACAATCTCTTGTCCAAGAACGGGGTGGTCGCTGCAGAGTTGCACACCAAGATCAGTTGGGATGATCTAAAGGCAGCATGGCATAAGCGGTTCCAAGTAGAGCCGTCGGAGATCAAGGCAATGGACAAGCTAATGGTCTTCGAACAAGGCACGCTGCCGAGAACCGACTGGATTGTCGCGTACCAACGCTTGACATCCGTCCCAGACATTCAAATGGGCTTCAAAGCCATCCGCCACTATTTTATCTCGAGGTCGTGTCCGACATTGAGCAATACCTTCACTCGTGTCGAGGACACCCTGACGACAATGGCGGAACTATCTGACAAGGCCTCGCAGAATATTGTCACGAACAAGGAAGCGAAGAACCTGCGTTCGTCTGCGGCAGGCCCGAGCAAAGATCAGCATCGACCGAAAGTGGTCGTGGTCGTGGTGGCAACGACATTTTACCAAACTACCGAGGCCGTGTTTGCCAATGAAGGGGACAAACTCGCAGCCGCCCGGGAAGGTGGCCGCCCCGACAAAGGCCGAGGACGTGGCAAGGCGAAGACAAACACCGCATCTAGCCCCGGGCCCGGCGCAGCAGCACCAGCCCCATGGTCCCAATACGGTCTCTCCGAGGACGCATTCAAAGCGCGCACGCGATTTCACTATTGCCTATGGTGCAACAACGATCTCCATGAGACAGTGGCCTGCCCGTCAAAAGGCAAGGGCAAATCGAAAAACTGAGCACCGTCGGGAGTGTCTCGACGACAATCCCGACGCCTTCGGAACCGGTCGCTTCGCGGGTGACCGCCCTTCGTTCCGAGGCACATGCGAAAGTCGATAGTCCTCCTCTTCTTTATTTTTTTAAGGACTATGCTGCCTGACTCGTTCCTACGTTGGGTACTCAAGCTCAAGGACAAGACGTGTGTGCGGCATCTTCTCCGTCCGACAGCAGCGACCTATCATCTTCAAGTGGTTCTTCACGGGATACGACGCGCGAGTTCAACATAGAGGTATTGGACCCGCTCACGTCCAGGGATTTCGCATGGCTTCCTCTCCCAGCCACGGGCCACTTGTCGGGACCACAATGCGCAGCACTATGCGCTTATCTCCACACGTACTTATCCTTCTATGCAGCACCAACTTCACCGACGGATGACGAAGTCTTGGTGGGGGTCATCCTTACATATGTTACCAAGATGGCCCACGAGTTTCGCAATCAGTGGTACGACGACAACAACGCACCGCTCCTCTATGTCTGCATCCAAGTTGGGCAAGCATCCTGCAGCGCTTCGTTGGATAGCGGCGCGTCATGAGCCAAGCCTTTATGCAAAGGGCTGGCCTTGGCGCACAAGTTCGAAGGAAGGCAAACCCAACGGCGATCAAGTTGGCGGATGGAAAGACGCAGCAACTTCTCAACCTTTACATCGAGGTCGTACCGGTGTACTTCGCACCTCATGCATGCGACTCGATGACGTTCGACATTTTGGACACAGACTTCGACATTATTTTGGGAATGCCTTGGCTTGCAAGTGCGGATCACACGGTCAACTTCCACCAGCGGACTCTTACCGTTCGGGACGCTTTCGACGCCGAAGTACCGTGTGCTATTCCTCTTCCGCATCCTTCGATCCGGTGCCAAGTGGTGACGGCCAAATCATTCCGGGCGACTTGCGCTTACAAGCAACCCGAGGAAATCGGCCTATGTTTCCTACGGACCGTCGCAGTAGCCGACTCTTCACCTACGGACTTGTCTTCGAACCCCCGGGTAGTGCGGTTGCTGGACGAGTTCGTCGACATCTTCGAGTCACCTACCGGTGTGGTGCCGGATCGGCCGATCTCTCACGAGATCATTCTTGAGGTCGGTGTCGTGCCGCCGAAAGGTTGCATCTATCGGATGAGCAAGGAGGAGTTTGAGGTCCTCCATGCACAACTCGACGATTTGTTGGCCAAGGGCTGGATCCGCCCCAGTAGTTCCCCATATGGAGCGCCAGTTCTCTTTGTACGGAAGAAGAACAAGGATCTACGATTGTGTATCGACTACCGCAAGCTCAACGTGCAAACCATCAAGAATGCGGCGCCTCTTCCTCGCATTGACGATCTTCTTCAGCAATTGGGCAGCGTGAAGTATTTTTCTAAGTTGGATTTGAAGTCGGGATATCATCAAATCTCGATCTTGCTAACCGTCAAGAATGTGGGGCCTCTTCCTCGCATTGACG